AAAAACCTCAAAGACAACCTCGCAGCAGCATTCAGCTTTGCTAAGTGTTCCATAGAATCTTAAATATTATGTAGTCTTTCTGAAAAGATACAAACCGGCTTCAGAGTTTGTGGAACTGTAGCAGTAAAAACACCAAAACAGTTCTAAGGAATAGTCTTTTGGCAGCATAGCAGGTGTCCAAAGTGAACGAATAGTCACTTCGAGCATTTTCCAGACAATTACAGGCTCCATATACACCTTCCCGAAGTTAGCCAAGGAAATCACCATTCTTCCTGGTTGGAGATGGTTGGAGATTGGGGTCCTTCTTGTTCAGGTTTCTCAGTTGGTGACTTCTTATTGCTACAGCAAGGTTTGAAGAGATGAGTGTCTATAAGGACTTCCCCAAAACGCCCTTTGTAAATTATTCCACAGCAAACTTTCTGCCTGGGGAGGGGAAGAGATGGGCAGATATAATTTTATATATAAATAGAGAGAGAAATAAGTCACAGTCATACAAAAAGTTAAATTTATTACAACCAGGACACTAGTGTTTATAATTTCCAGGGCCACTTGAATACCACAATGATGGGCCCCATAGAAATGCTTAAAAGATTCAGATCCATTTCAGTTCTGGGGGAAGTTTCACACATAAAATGATAACAAGTAAGAATCACAGGCACAAACAAGCCTGCCAAGAAAAACAAAGCCACACATGCAAAATCCACTAGACTGCTTTAAAAAAAAAATTCAGTCTAACCACTTTTGGTTTACCACTTTACTACTTCAACTAGATACAAAGAAATACACACAGCTGCTTCTTTGCCAAAGTAGAGTAACTAAATGCACCTTTAAGAGGCCAACTTAAAAGAACATAAGAATGGCTTCAGTGGGTCAGACCAAAGGTCCATCTAGCCCAATAGTCTGTCTTCTGACAGTGGCCAATGCCACGTGCCCCAGAGGGAATGAACAGACAAGTAATCATCAAGTGTTCCTTCCCCGTCACCCATTCCCAGCTTCTGGCTGAGACTAGGGACACCATTCCTGCCCATCCTGGCTAATAACTATTGATGGACCTATCCTCCAAGAATTTATCTAGGCAGTGAAAATCACAGCCATTGCAATTGGAGAAGTAGCATAACAAGGGATCACTGCATTTTATTTTACAGTGTCCGACAAACGCATAAAAAATCTGAACACCACGGGGGAAAATCCTTCAGTTTCTCCAGCCTCCCAAGTTTCTGATAACTGATCATGGGTCAGTGATAAAATGTTTAATTGTCAGAAAGACATCATGACCCTCTGACATGAGGTACACAGAGACTAACCTTAAAATAAAAGGCAAAACAAGAATTTATCTCCAAGTCCAAATCTATTCTTTCTGTACTGTTAAATTACTTGCCACATCCTTAAAATGCCATCTCTGTCACCAGCTGTTTGCGGGGGCTGTTAAATGGCTTTGTCTGCTTCCTCAGCAATTAGGTGAATTGCAGGCAGGACAGATGTGTGTTGAGTTGCTTTTTACCTTTTCCAGTATGTGAGGTCTAAAAAGGAGAAGACTGGTGTTCTGCTGGAGCCAGGGTTCATCTCGGTGTCAGAGCCATCATCAGACTGGTTACTGTAGCAGGGAGACTGAGCTGGTGAGGCACTTGAGGTGGTGCTGTGGGCATCAGAGTCTACAGGAAAAAAGAAGATGAATTCATTGCATGCAACAAGCTTCTTTACTCACCCCAGACCCAAAAAGTCTGACACAAACAACACTAGTTTGCTTGTCTCAAGACATCTACAATTTCCCCCATCTTACCACTTCCCCTGCTACTTCCCCACCCAGAATCATCCAGCTCAGATATATATCATGTCCCCCTTCATAAGCCCCTCCCAACTCCACTCACACGATTCAATGATTACATAAACACGTATGCAATTTGGCCAATGAACAATTAGCTACTTTGGACAAAGTTTTAGGAGAGCAGCTTATTGCTACTTACTGTGACGTTTGAATTCCTTTTGCAGTTTGCTGATTTGATTGCTCTTTATTCTGCTGCCAGAGAGAGTTTTCATTTTCTTTGGTTTCAGTGTTGTTTTAAGACTGGGTCCAGCCCTTGCATCTACCACCTGAAAAGCAGCATGGATACAGTCAATTCCCTCTGCCCACAGTTCTCAATCAGGATTAGGGTCTGGTCTATGGATAAACCTGCTCTAGTTTAATTAAAGTTGTTGTTTTAAACCAATTCTGTTCACTTGTACAACTTTGGGTGTTGAAACTCTTGCACTTGGCTTATATCAGGCCTAGTCTACAAAAGAAAGTAAAACTAGTTTAGAACAGTTTTAGTTAAACCAGTGCTCTTCTTTGTACATAAAAGGTTGCAGCTTAGCTTGCAATGTAAAGAAGGCCAGTTTAAATCAAAGAGTGTCCACACTGAGTTTGCACAGATTTAGCATAAATCCATTTATGCTAAC